AAAAAAAAAAAAAAAAAAAAAAAAAAAAAAAAAAAGCACGAAAAAAATTAATGGAAGTGCCTTGCATGGGTGGTGGCCAATGCTGCTCCCAGGAGCCATAGGTTATTAAACAAAAGTCCCAATGCCAGGTATGGGGTATCTCCTTTGAGTTGTTGGTCAGGGAGGCCCCAGAGGTCTCCCAAAACAATACAAGCTCTTGCCATTCCTCTTGGTTGCCAACGGAAGTAGAAAGTAAGACCATATTGCTGAAGATATTACACATCTTGATTACAGGACATAGAGCAATCAATCTGGAATTGACCTAAAAACTTCCTTCTTGTTGACTAGCATTCACAGTGCCAAAAGGAGCTATGTAGATTACTGGAGAGGAAATGACGTAAGGAGTCTTACTCAGATGTGTACCCCTGTGAGTTACAATACCAACCTGCAGGCAAGATGTGCCCTAATGCAATAGTGTCATGACTATTAATGAGTTAATAATCAAACACTTTCTGCTTAGATCAGGGGTCTGCTCCACAAGAAGAAACTCATGCTTGGTAAACCTAGTCAAATGCTTATGGCCCCAGAGGGGAGAGGCCCCAGTATGGTAGGTGTTGGGGCATATTATTTTAAGGTGTGTTACATTTGTTTAGGTTGTATTTGTTTAACTCTGTGAAGCTGTGTTACTGCGCTTGTCTAAAACACCTGATGGTCTAATGAAGAGCAGAATGGCCAATAGTGAGGCAGGAGAAAGGACAGGAAGGGCTGGCAGGCAGAGACAATTAATAGAAGGAGAAATCTGAAAAAAAAGAAAAGAAAAGAAAAGAAAAGAAAAGAAATGAAAAGAAAAGAAAAGAAAAGAAAAGAAAAGAAGTAGCCAGAGAAAGAGGGGGAATTGAAGGGCCAACCACCCAGCTACACAGCAAGCCACAGAGTAAGAAATAATGAAAGGTACATAGAAATAGAGAAAGATAAAAGCCCAAAGGCAAAAGATAGATGGGATAATTTAAGTAAAGTTGGTTAGAAATAAGCCAAGCTAAGGCCGGACATTTATAATTAAGAATAAGCCTCCATGTGTGATTTATTGGGAGCCGGGTGGCAGGCCCCCCAAAAGAGCAAAAACAACAACAGGCAGGGTCCCTTGAGAACCCTGGGAAACAAAAACAGACAAGCAGGCCAAGCAATGTCCTTGAATGAATGTCAGCTTCCCCACATCCCTCCCACACAGCTCTTTACTTACTAACCCTTCCTGGAGGCCTTGGGAAAGGAGACGAAACCACGCTGTGGTTTAGTCCCTGCCAAAATGCTTAAGTGTGACCTTGCTACATTCCCTGAGAAACCCTCCATTGCTCAACATATGATGGAGATGTGGGTAGGGGGGTTCCAGCAAGGGTCTCCAGGGTTCTTGGTTCTTTTGAACAGATGTTTGGCTGAGTTTGCTAGCATAATTCAAAGCTATTTTCCTGAAGAAACCTCAATTTTTTGAGTTTTTTTGATCAGAATCCCACCACACTAAGGGAGAACACCCTACTATTACTTTGCGCGTGGTCAAACTGCCTTCTAAGTGTTTGTTTAGAGCAGTAGATTGATGCTGCTCTCAGCCTTTGTCAGAGAAGCTTTCTTTTTACAGTGATTAATGCAGAAATTCACAGGCCAGTGCTAAAAAAAAAGTGGCTGTTGAGTATCCAGCCCTAAGTGAGACATCTATATAATCTCCCACACCAGTCTTCTGCTCACCGAGTGACCAATGCACTCATAAACTCACGGTAGCTGTGAATACTTGCACAAGATGGGGCCCTTTCAGCATTTCATCGAGGATAGGGGAAGAGTTCATGAGGCCCGACCCTACCTTGAGGACAGAGTATTGACAATTAATGGGTGCTGTGGTAAGGGACATAATTTTTTATTTTCCAGTGATGTAGTTACTGGTAAGAACACAGTCCTTTTTGTTGACTGGGGTCCCTCAAACTAGGTCCTACGGGCACTTTGAATACACTAACACTGTTGGGGGCTGTTCTCTGCATTGCAAGATTGTTGTCAGCCTCCGTGATCACTACCCACTTGATGCCAGAGACACTCTATGTTCCCCCCTGAACTCTTGGCTATGGGTTTGTCAAATGTAGTCTCTATTATGTTAAGGTGTGCTTTTCCACCCCCACCCCCCAGATATTTATCATGAAGGCATGTTGAATTTTGTCAAAGGATTTTTCTGCATCTATTGAGATGGTCATGTGATTTGAGTCTTTAAGTCCATTCATGTGTTTTATCACATTTATTCACTTCATATGTTGCCCCATCCTGGCATCTCTTGAATAAAGCCAACTTGGTTGTGGTAGATAATCTTTTTTATCAATGTATTCATTTAGTTTTCAAATATATTTCTTTTTACCAATTTTTTTTAAAGATTTATTTATTTTTATTGTGTATACAGCATGCATGACTGCAGGCCAGAAGAGGGCACCAGATCTCGTTATAGATGGTTGTGAGCCACCATGTGGTTACTGGGAATTGAACTCAGGACCTCTGGAAGAGCAGTCAGTGCTCTTAACCCCTGAGCCATCTCTTCAGCCCTAGTTTTCAAATATTTTACTGAGGGTTTTGAACTCGTCAAAATGAAGAGATTGCTTAACTGTGGGGTGCCCAGTCCTAACGGATGCATCTGTAACACAGCTCCTATACCTAAGGCTCGTATAACATTGAGAAAGAGGGGGTCAGAAAGACTGTAAAAGGCAGAGGACTGGGAAGTCTGCTGTGAGACTGTCTCTACTGGAACGACCCATGACACCACAACAATATGGCTGCCTAAACAAGACCAGAACAATGACGATACTAATAGCCATGCTAACATGGAAGGGGCCCTACCTCTAGACAACTACAGGCAAATAACTAGTGAGAGAAAGAAAATCAGTCTTCCCCAGGGACAGGACTATATGATTATAGAGTACTGAGTGGTCAGCTTTGAGATCACTACATATACAGAACATTAAAATGGACCCAACATTCTATATTTATATATTTTATGCATATATGTGTACATAATCATATATATATAATAAAATGAAGTCATGAATTTGAGAGGGTAAGCTGGGGCATAGGAGGGGTTGGAGGAAGGAAAGGAAAGGGGGAAAAGAATGCAACTATATTTTAGTTAAAATTTTTTAAATTATTAAAAAAAAAATTGGCACCCAGTCATAGAATAGTGAAAGACTGACTGGGTTCAATCTCAAGGCTGAAGACAGGGAAAGTTCTTCACACATGCTCTTTCTTGGGTAAGCATCTCTTTGTTGATGGACTGGACTATCATTTTGGGAACGCCACTTAAAAATTAATCAGTGTCCCAAGGTGTGTATATGGAACTATTTAGTGGCTCTTCACCTTACCACTATTTATGTGGTTTTCAGTGGTGGCGATGGAACCCAGGGCCTCTCATGCATACCAGGCAAGAGGTCTACCACTGAGCCACATTTCCAGATCCATTACAGCTCCATTATTTTTGCATTTAAGTTACCCTCTCTTTAGTTTTCATCAATAGAAATGATATTGTGATAACTACTTTCTTGATTTTCTGATACAGAAATCTCATGTATCCGAGGCTGGCCTCAAACTCCTCATGTGACCAAAAATGATCTTGAATTTGTGTTTTCCTTGCCTCTACTCCCACAGTAGATCACAGAGATACACGACCAAGCTCAGTTCATGTGATATTGGTGACTTACTCTCAGGGCTTCTGCATGCTAGGTTACATTCCCAGCCTATACTGACTACTTTTGGAGAAAGTTTGCTTTGGAAGGAAACTGTGATCTGTGATGGTTTGAATGAGACATGTCCCCCACCGTCTTGGGGATCTGGACATTTGGTCCCCAGTTGGTGTGATATTTGGGGAGGCTTAGGAGGTGCAGCCTTGCTGGATGAAGTATGTCACTGGGGGCGGGCTTTGAGTAAAAAGTAAAGCTGCTTTCTTGGAGTTCCCTCTCTCTGTGCTTGGTGATTCTGCTAAAGGATGTGAGCTCTCCTTGGCCGTCCTGGAACTTGCTCTGTAGACCAGGCTGGCCTTGAACTCGGAGATCCACCTGCCTCTGCATCCCAAGCACTGGGATTACCTGTGTGCACTACCACTGCCTGGCCTATCTAACTTTTATTACAACTATTGTTATATTGTTATAACAATTATAATATTGTTCATTAAAAAAAAAAAAAAGAATGTGAGCTCTCAAGTCATCGTGCCTGCTGCCTGGGGTCATTTCTCTATCATCTCTTATCCCTGTGAAAGCCTCCGCCAAAATAAACTCACTTTCTTCCTTAAGTTACCTTTGGTCACAGAATTTTCTCATAGCAACAGAAAAGTAACAATCTGTAATCTAATCCCTAATTTTTTTTTAAATCTATGTTCTACTGCAATTCACTCTTTTAAAAAAGCTAATGTAGGATGGAAGGAAAGAATATTTTCCCGAGAGAGAGAGAGAGAGAGAGAGAGAGAGAGAGAGAGAGAGAGAGACCGACCGTCACAGTCTACCTCCTAGAGTTTGGAGACCATAGGCTTCCTTCCACTCACTCCAGGGTTTTTCAACTACCAGCTAACATCCACCTTCCCAGTCTTCCGTTTCTGCTCTTGTTTCGCTAGGTGCCAAACCTGTCTAAACTCAGTTCTCCGGTAGCCGACTCTGCCCCGGGGCTTCCTTCTCCTTCTGGAACAAGCCGCTTGCAGCTTGCAGCTCATAGCGAGGGCGCACAGTTCTGCCAGCCTCCTCGGGCCAGATGCTCGCTCGCATCTCTCTCCACCCGCCTCCTACCTCGGGCTCCGGAATCTATAGTCTCTCCAAAAGCCATCTGGAAACGGGCTCGGAGTGGCGAACCCCGAGGAGCCCAGCAGCTTACAACAGGTGTGAGCTAGCGAGTGCTGGTTTTTGTTTTGTTTTTTCTGGAAGTTTCAGACGTTTCATTAGGAACGTTCGCTCTGCACAAAACGGCGTAGAGGCAACGCTCTCTAATCCTCATATGCGCCGTGGCTCCCACTCTTTGCCACGAAAATGAGCGGGATTTTTTTTTTTTTTTTTTTTTTTTTCCTTATTGC